CGGAATGCGAGTGGAGGATCCCTCATCCTCCTCACTCCTTTCCGACCTGTCAACAAGGAGGGATTAGATCATACAACGAAAAAGTTGAAGAGACTATGAAGCGGAAAACAAAGTAAAATAACGACAAGCTGACTCACCGGTAAGAGTCTTGCGCCCAAACTTCTCATGGAAATGCGCCCACTCACGAATCCCCACTGTATAAGGGAGAATTGCGCTCACCCATTCGTGGATATCGGCAACTAGCGGGGGAGGTAGTCTCTCGGCTGCAAAAGCAAAAAACAAGTCCTCAGCAAAGTTGCTAAAAGAAAGACAATCGACGACCATCTTAAGAAAAATCACAAAGTAAACAGGGGAAAACTTACGAGCAAAGTTCCACGTCTCTGGAAACCCTGCCGAGTTCGCCACAAGGTGCTTTGTCCGCACATAGAAGTAACTTTCCCAAAAGCGGCGATTGGCCTTATCATCCATCTTCACCACCAAACTCTTGGTTCCTCGATGGCGCATATGGATCATCGTACCCCGAAGAAAATGAGGGGAAAAGATATGAAGCATGTGCCCTAGGGAAATTCCTCGGCCAGCCAGCTTCGCGTACTTGATGAGCATAAGAAAGAGCTTGTACGCATATAGAGAGAGTTGAGCCGGGCACACTTTGTAGAAGCGGCAGAAGTCCACCACCAGAGAGGGAAGAGGGAGCGTGTACCCGATAACAAAGGGATACGCGTAAAACACGCAGTATCCCGGGCGGTGCAAATGTACAATATCCTTCCCCGCCGCCGGTACCATTTCGATATGGGCGGGGATTCCCCACTTGGCCTTAATTCTAGAATCCGTATTGCCACCTATGCCTAGATCACAGATAAATGGAAATTTTGTTGATAAGACCTTTTCAATTGTAGCCAATATCTTATTACGAGTAATTCCGACAACTTCAGGAGAAATAGAGGCATTTACCTATTACAGAGATGGTGCGATTTGATTCTTTTTTTTATTTCATATTTATTCATTTCTCTCAGTCTTACGAGGAGAAAAAGCGTCGTGATCGCTGCTTCATCCATACTGGAAGGAACAGGCTCCGATTCATTTCCGGCAGGGCTGTTAAAATCAGTCCTCATCTTCCCCGGGTGGGGTACTATCTCATCCACCATCGAAAATCCCTCGTCTTCCACCACCTCCACTCCCTCTTCGATTGGGGACACATCACTTTCCGGCACCGGAGGTTCAACAACTCTATCAGTCTGGGAAGGAGCACTAGCCATTTGTCTTCTTCGATCGAAGTAAACGAGAATGACGAAGGAAAAAAGGGTAATAATCACGGTGAATTCTAGCGGAAACAGGAGAATGAAAAGCTATAGAAGGGGAAGGGAATTTGCAAAGTTCTTAGATAATTGAAAAGCGCAATAATCAAATAGATGGTTTCTCCCTTATTTATAGAGACAAAAAGGCCTTGAGCGGGAAAACCAAGAGCCGCCAATCAGAAAACGAAAGGGGCACAGGATACGATACGGTGCCTGGGGAACGTGCGCCATGATAACGCATAATAAGCATTCATGACAGCATGAATTGATGTGACGATCCGACTCTGAACTGACGTAACGATCCAACAAAATTCTCGAGGCATCACGTTGCTGCCTCGCCATAAGGACCTCGTTCCTCGCGTAATGGTCAGACTTCTTCCAACTTATGAATCAACAGAATCCGCCCGTCGCCTCGCCAAGAGGCGACCCCAACGGACGGAGGGACTAACTGTATGGGTCAAAATCTGACCACAAATGGATTATCATTAAAAGGAATGGTAAGGGGTCGACCAAGCTCTAGTCGTGCCCATAAGGCGCAATGGCGACGAATGTCTCGGCCACTGTCGAGATCGAGCCATCGAAAGGCTTGCACGACAGATATATGCCGTAATGCTTGAGCAAGTAAAGAAGAGTATAGTCGAGAGGGGGTATGCTGGTAAAAGACCGTTGGATAAAGGGGAAGACTTGTAATATATATGGGGTAAGAAAGCAAGAAAATAGGGGATTCTCCTAGGAGAGAAGAAGGAACAGAAGAACGGGAGGAGACCTTCAACAACAAAGTAGAAGCCTAGATTTTGGTGACAAGCTTTTGTAATCGTTACCATTGAATCAATAAAGATAGATCTCTTAGTTCTCAACGAGATTCTCTCTCTTTCTTCTTCGCTCTTTCAGATGCGAAACAATTTGGTGTCAAAGATGTAAGCTTATCATTTACATTTGATGTTCTTCAATCGTCTTAAGAAATGTTATGCAAGCTTGGTCTCATACGATTCTCTTATTCAATATGCTTAGATCTAAAGTTAATTATGTTTGGCTAAGATTTACCCTCCATTTTTATCATTAATTAGTTTAACTAAAAGGCTCAACACTTTTTTGTCAAACAATTTAGGCTTGGTCTCATACGATTCTCTTATTCAATATGCTTAGATCTAAAGTTAATTATGTTTGGCTAGGATTTACGCTTCATTTTTATCATTAATTAGTTTAACTAAAAGGCTCAACACTTTTTGGTCAAACAATAATTTTTTTTAATTTTAGTTTCAAATATTGTTTAAATGCATACATGTCTTTTAAGTCTATAGAATATGTGCGCCTTTGGTTCGGTTGAGCTATTAGGGATTTCTTTGAAATCTAACGGTCGCTTAAATTTTAGAGTTATATATTTTGTCAACTTTATAATACTAAATAACGAGGATACTTGAAGTTTACTAAATGAAACGACTTTTGGCTCATCACATTGTTTTAACTTACTTTTTTTTTTCCTTGTGTTAAAGAGAAATATTTTATTAATAATACTAAGGCGTTTCAGTAGAAGTGTTAGCTACATAGACACTATCATAGATAACGAGTACACAAAGGTTTCCAAGACTAATAGCCCGTTTGACCAAGTTGCAAAAATCAGCTTATTTTGAAAAGTGCTTTTTTTTAAAAGTGCTTTTCTCAAAAGTACTTTTGGTGAGAAGCAGTTTGTGTTTGGCTAATTAGTTTGAAAAGCACTTCTGAGCAGCAATCAGTGTTTGGCCAAGCTTTAAAAAACTGCTTCTAAGTGTATTTTTCTCGAAAGTGCTTTTCAAAAAAGTGCTTTTGGAGAGAAACTACTTTTTTCTGCTTCTCCAAAACTGCTTCTGCTTCTCCTCAAAAGTACTTTTTTCCTTCCAAAAGCTTGGCCAAACACCTCAATTTTTGGCCAAAAGTATTTTTGACAAAAAAAAAAGCACTTTTGGCCAAAAAGAAGCTTGGCCAAACAGGCTATAAATCGTCTTTGTCTGCTTGAACAGTTGATAACACGGACTCTGAGAGAGTTGCCATGATAGACATATAATCAATTGTGGCTTGCTTGGTTCCATCCTTAGCCAAAACGTGAGCTACTTCGTTTCCTTGTCGGAAGCTATGCCGGATTGCTGGACTCCCCAACCTCCTCAGTTGGTACCTGCATGAGTCAATAACGATTTGATAAGTAGGGTACTTTTGTTCCGATTTTAACTTACTTCAGTTGAATGATTTGTGCCTACCACGCCATAAGATGTAAAATATTTAATACTTATCCCTATTCACATCGAATCACATTAATTTATAATAATTATACAATGAATTAAGGGCAAAATATATATGAAGTAGTACCCACGATTAGTTGATAATAGTGTATGTAACATAGATATATTTTTTTTTAAATAGTAGAACTTTTAGTCCTTCAATTTCTAGTAAAATTTTATGTTGATCCGTGAAATATATGACTATTTAACCTTTCAAATAATTTTAAATTGTATATTCTGGTCCCTTTATATCGGAACTACATCAAATTTAGACTATTTTTATAATGATATTACCTTGAGTTATAAACTAATAACCTTATCACAATGTATGGGTAGTTAAATGGTTAGATTTGTGAAGATTCACAAGCAGATGGATTAAAAGTGCATATTACTATTAATTGAAAGTTAAATATACTTAATCATATTTTATACAGACCAAACTTAAAATTTGTCGATATTTCTAGGTTTAAAGTGCAAAATTAGTTTTTTTTTCTGTTAAAATCATACAGTAATAATATTTTGTTTCAATTTTCTGTTTCCTCTTTATTTTTTCCCTGTTAAGAAGAATTTGAAATCCTTCTTTTGGCCAAAAAGTGCTTTTTTTTGGCAAAAAAAAAAAGCACTTTTGGCCAAAAAGAAGCTTGGCCAAACAGGCTATAAATCGTCTTTGTCTGCTTGAACAGTTGATAACACGGACTCTGAGAGAGTTGCCATGATAGACATATAATCAATTGTGGCTTGCTTGGTTCCATCCTTAGCCAAAACGTGAGCTACTTCGTTTCCTTGTCGGAAGCTATGCCGGATTGCTGGACTCCCCAACCTCCTCAGTTGGTACCTGCATGAGTCAATAACGATTTGATAAGTAGGGTACTTTTGTTCCGATTTTAACTTACTTCAGTTGAATGATTTGTGCCTACCACGCCATAAGATGTAAAATATTTAATACTTATCCCTATTCACATCGAATCACATTAATTTATAATAATTATACAATGAATTAAGGGCAAAATATATATGAAGTAGTACCCACGATTAGTTGATAATAGTGTATGTAACATAGATATATTTTTTTTTAAATAGTAGAACTTTTAGTCCTTCAATTTTTAGTAAAATTTTATGTTGATCCGTGAAATATATGATTATTTAACCTTTCAAATAATTTTAAATTGTATATTCTGGTCCCTTTATATCGGAACTACATCAAATTTAGACTATTTTTAGAATGATATTACCTTGAATTATAAACTAATAACCTTATCACAATGTATGGGTAGTTAAATGGTTAGATTTGTGAAGATTCACAAGCAGATGGATTAAAAGTGCATATTACTATTAATTGAAAGTTAAATATACTTAATCATATTTTATAAGGACCAAACTTAAAATTTGTCGATATTTCTAGGTTTAAAGTGCAAAATTAGTTTTTTTTTCTGTTAAAATCATACAGTAATAATATTTTGTTCCAATTTTCTGTTTCCTCTTTATTTTTTCCCTGTTAAGAAGAATTTGAAATCCTACCGTTCTGCAATTCATTATTCACTACACCAAGCTCTCCTCTCTCCTCTTCCCCCGTAGCAAAGAAATGGAAGAACCAGAAGGACCAATGCTCCACCTAATAATGGAGAAGGGTCCTCTTTCTGGGCAAAAATTGGAATATAAACCCGGATACAAGATCCAAATCGGCCGGGTCGTACGCGGCAACACACTCCCTATCAAAGACTCTGGAATCTCCTCCAAACACCTCCGCATCCACTTTCAATCCGGTTCATGGGTGATCGAGGATCTCGGATCCTCAAACGGTACATTTCTCAACACTTTATTAGTCGATCCATCTCGCCCCACTAAACTTACCGACGGTGATAATATAAAAATTGGCGAATTAACCTCCATCGCAGTTAAAATTGAAGCAATGAAAGTTGATTCAGTTGAAGAAGTTGAGATGAAGTGTAAAAATACCCGGCGAAACCCTAGGCGTAAGGAATTAGGGGTTTTATATGAAAATTGCGCCCAATTAGGGTTTGGAAATGGTGGAATTGAGAATGTGGGTGTGGGTGTGGGTTCCAAAAGAACGACGAGGAGTTCTAAGAGTGCGGAAAATGACAACTTAACTGTAATTGAAGTTGAGAAAGGGAGGAAAGCGAATCCGAGGAGGACTAGGGGTTCTAAGAAAGAGGAGAGTGTGAAAAATATGGTTGATAGTGTGAAGGAAGCTGAGAATTTTACTGTAGCTGATGTTGAAAGAGAAACAAAACGGGGTAGACGGAGTAGGAAAGTGGAAAGTGTTAAAAATAGGGATGATGATGTGGAGGAAACTGAGAATCTTGCTTTAGTTGATGTTGAAAGCGAGCTTAAATGGTGTACGAAGAGGACAAGGGGTTCTAAGAAAGTGGAGAGTGTCAAAGATGTGGATGATGGTGTGGAGAAAAGTCAGAGGCTTGCCTTGGTTGATGCAGAGCAAGAGAGTAAACGGTGTACGAGGAGAACGAGGGGTTCTAGGAAAGTTGAGAGTGTTAAAAATGTGGATGATGGTGTGGAGGAAACTAAGAGTCTTGCTGTAGTTGATGCAAAGCAAGAGAGGAAACCGAGTCCGAGGAGGACTAGGGGTTCTAGAAAAGTGGTGAGTGTTAAAAATGTGGATGATGCTAAGAATTCTGTAGCAGTTGATGTTGAGAGAGAGAAGATGGTGTATGTAAGGAGGAATAAGAGTTCAAGGAAGGAAAAAGATGCAGAAAATATCCATGAAAATGCAGGTGAAATCATGGAATTGAAGCAACTTGAGAAAGGGAAAGGAAGTGCCGCAAGAAGGGGGTGTTTGGAGGAAGAGGGGGTGATGGACAGGTTGGAAAGAATCCAAAAAGATCGTGAAGAAGCAGTAGAGAACAATGCCGATGAGGTGGCAGTGAAATTGGGAAGGGAGAGTTGCGAGGTTTCGGTTAGTAATGCTGGTGTAAGTATTAGTGAAGTCCAAGAGGAGAAGGAGGTGGATTTAGAGAAAATGACACTTGGAGAGTGGTTTGATTATTTGGAGGTTCATTTGCCAAAACAAATAATTGACGCCACTGAGGAGATGATTTTAGATATGAAACAGAAAACAGAGAAGTTTCAGGAGTTCATGTTGCAGCACAAGAATGCAAAGGGTTGTGATGGAATACCAGAGGGTTAGACCGAGGACTCAGTAGGGAGCTTTACATTCTTAGGTTATTTTTCTGTTGCATTGCTGTTTGTATCAAGGGAATTCATTTTCTGGACATACCTAAGTTTCTTATTTGCATAAATGCTGCTCTGTTGTATCTGTGTGTTGTGAACCCTTGTTTACTTACAAAAACTGAAAGATTCTCAGTTAGTTGAAGCAATCTAAGACGTCGATGACAAAACACTTTTCCTTCTGTTGTTAAATTCCCGTTCTGAAAGCTAAATGCTTAGTTTATTCAGTTGAAATTTTCATGCCCTGTACACAGAGTTGACAATTTGTTGGATTTTGTTAGCTCCCTGATACTAGCGTAGATATGGCTTGGAGCTAGCTTTTTGCTGTTTTCAGTTTTTTGATCGGTTAGCTTCCTGTAGGTATACTGAAGTTAGATTTTGATTCCTATTAGTAATTCTGCATCTTCTTGATTCCTTTTCTAATGCAATTTACTTACCTTATTAAAAAAAATGAATTCTGTTCTTTATTGACAGTGATGAATCTGATGCATATATATGTCCAATGTCCAGAAATTTAGTCCAATGCTCAGTGACTTCTCAAGTCCGAAGCAGGGATACTTATCATTGAGTTATGTGTATCTAGTTTAGAAACAGCAAAGGTCCAAAACAGTGTCTTGTGGGCACCAAAAGTGGGACACTAGCCTGTTATTTCCAATTCTAATATATTATTGAATACATGGGCATTAGCGTTCTCAGTAACTGCATATTAGTTATAACATTCAGACTAGGTTATGGAATAGACTCCCATACTGTACGTTTAAGTAAAATATTATACGGTCAAGAATTTAGCAGAATTTCTAGTTAATAGCGCTAGAAGGATACATTGAGATTGTTGTTTGCTGCATCTGACAATGCTTGAAAGAAACTTATTAGCTAGCACTAGTTGATGTCACCTGTCATGAACTTTTAATTTCTAGTACCAATACCATCAGCTTGTCTCTCCTGGAACTGTAGCCTGTAGGCGTTGTTTATGCAAAAAATAAGAAGATAAAGTACTCTATTTAGACAAATTAACTTGAGATTTATAGAGTACACTAAGCATCTATTGACATATTGAGTTACCGTTCGAATTTCCTATTGCTCATAGTCTGGCTGTTGATCGTCGTGGAAGTAAGCATCGATCATTGGCTAATTTCTGTGTTTCATGAAAGAAAAAAGTGCCAGTATAAATTCTTATGGATAGTGGAAAATTGGTTTTTGCTTAAAACCAGGTCATTCCACGTAGCTATGACAAAATTAAATCACTTTCCTCTATGTGAAGGTTGACATGCTTGGATGGAGCCTGAGATTCAACAGCATAAAAGTTAGGACCTGTTTTAATAGAAGATGTTCAACCTCAGATGACACAGTTGGAGGCCGGAGGAGGAAGCGCAATACTGCTAAGGAAAAGTGTCCTACAAATTGAAGGGAGCAAGATGTTACAGCAATACATGCTCTGGCAGATGGCAGTGCGCTTACTGTTTCACCTGGGATGATGCTTCTGATTCTAAAATTGTTTCAGCTGACCTTGATTTCAGTCTCTCTAGCATCTTTCTCAACTTTGACATAGCAGATTGTAACATGAGTATTAATGCTAGAGAAGAATGATGGGGCTTGGAGTTATTATCAATTTTTTGTAAATACTTTCTACTGCTTTAGTTGTGCACACTTGTGCATTGGACATGACAAATGAGGCATAACAGTAATGACTGCATGGTTTGGAATTTTTTTTTCATCTAGTTGTTAATACTAACAACATGAACGAGTTAACAAAGATGAGACAAGTTTCCATAATCACAAATAGTTTAATGGCAAACAGAAACATATCTGAAATCATGAACTTATGAAATTTCTGAAAATAAAAAGCAAAACGAGCTTAGACCTTTCCACCACTGACATCATTAACTTTTCCATTGGCTACCAAACTATTAAAGAACCAGATTGATCAAATGCATCAGTGCACTAAAAGTTTTTATACTTTGTGAAATGATTCTTCAATAATAATAAGATGAATTGTAGACAAATCAAGAATAGATCAAGCACTATCCACCCTTGTTATCTGTTTTGTTACTGCATTTTTATTTTAAAGGCTGGATACTAAGACTTAGTAGATTGAAGAAACTTCTCACTCATGACTTCCTCAATAGTAACAGCTCGACCTATCTGAATCGAAAGCTGTGCAGCAACTCCAATAGCAACTGAAACCAAACCATCATGTAAACCAACAGCAGGAGCTTGTTCTCCTCTTGCTCTTACTGCTGACAAAAAATGGAGGTGTTCTAAGTAGCTTGAACCATGATGTAGCCCATCGTATCTGTCAAAGAAAATATAATTGAGAACTTGAAGAAACTATAGCGATAACAAAGACTTAATAGCTCAAGATAAGGCAAAATGAGTTACTTTATTCGCTTATCTTCAGCTAGTAAGGTTTGTACACCATTTCTTCCTTCAGCTCTTGTACCCCAACGCACAATGCTCTCAGGCACAAGTGCTTCGCCCTGTTAAATTTGAGAAAGAACATCAAAGGAGGAGGATAAGTTCAGAGCAAACTTGGCAAGATATTCATAAGTGGGTGTTTATTACAATATCAGTGTAAGAAGAAAAGGGCAGCCCGGTGCACTATGCACCGCTATGCGCGGGCAGGGAAGGGCCGGACCACAGCGGTCTATTGTACGCAGCCTTGCCCTGCATTTCTGCAAGAGGCTGTTTCCATGACTCGAACCTGTGACCTCCTGGTCACATGACATCAACTTTACCACTTACGCCAAGGCTCACTTTCATTACTGTAAGAAGAGAAAGGGGAAAAAGAAGGGAAGAGATTTACCTTTCCAATATCACCTACTACAGATATTTCTTGCTCATTTTTACTTCCCTCAGCAAACATACAGAGGTCAAGCATGCCACGACAACCATTGTCGAATTCCACAATGACATAAGCATTGTCAATTATATCAGGCACCTGAATATCGAAAACAGAAGTAGTTAAACCATGTCACACAAGACTAACATCTCCCAAAACCATGATTAATTAAGCATGCTTACTCTGCTTTATCTTGAATTGTTCAAAAACTTATGTGGATATAGCCAGTCGTCAACCCTAAACTACGTGATAGTGATCAGCTAGCTCCACAGTTCCAGTATTTACAGATGAAGTAGGACCAATAAAAGGTAGTTTTGAAATTATGAATCATGAAAAATTAGCCAAGTTTTCTTTCTATGTTTTAGATAGATAGATGCTAAATGTTGGCTTTTGCGCTCTTTGAAATGCTATTTCTAGAGATTATTTATATCTAATTGAACTTCTGTAGCAAAAGAAGTAAATTACCCGTCCATCATATACTTCATCTTTGTGATTCAAATCCATTGCACCAGAGGCCATAACACGAACAGGATTAGCTCCAATGAAAAGCCTCATCAGATCAAAGAAATGGCAGCATTTCTCTACTAGAGTACCCCCAGTGTTGCAGTTGAAGCGATTCCAGTTATCGACCTATAAGAAGCACAACTGGTTAACATCTGTGACTACAATGAAAGCAGAAGTTGTAAGCTGAATTACCACCTTAACAAGAAATGGAAATCGATGTTCTCGAATTGCCACCATCTTCACTTGTCCTAAAGCTCCTTCTTTAACTATGTCTATCAGTTTTGCAACAGGTGGCATATATCTGTACTCTAGCCCAACTTGTACCAGCATATCAGATCTCCTTTTGGCAGCACTTATGACCTGATACATGTTTCAAAACCATTTCAGAATATGATAGAGGGAAAAAGTGAATGTTTCATAGCTGAAAACAAGAGGCCTAGAAACTCTAAAGAAGTAAGTCAATGTCTCCAGAGGATACATGAAACAGATGTATACTAATGCCGCTGTTATCCTGTGGCGCAGCCAGAAAATTCAACAAGGGTGTTCAAATTTTGAATACCCTTTGCCAGTGGGCTATGCAAGGGTGTTCAAAGTCTATTTTTATCAGTAACAAGTAATATTTTACCATCGGCAAAGGGTGTTTAGTTGACCACCCTTGGCCACGCATAGCTTCGCCCGTGCTGTTACACATGCAATATGCAAGTGTATATTTTTGAAGCTTCTCTTTTCTGTTTCTGTTGGAATGAGAGGTATTTGAGATACTACTGACCTTTTGGCAGTCTGAAACATTTGTGCACAAAGGCTTCTCAACCAAAACATGATGGGGTTTTGGATGATTGATGATATCCATTAGAATCTCATAGTGAGTCATGTTTGGAGTTGAAACTACCACCACATCACACAGTCCACTTTCTAACATCTGCTTGTGCCCTGTAAAAACCTGTATATGTAACGACATATCACGATCGAAATGTTACTTAAAAGAAAAAGAAAAGGAAAAGACAGTAAGAGAAACATGAACAACAATGTCTTCAGATTTTGTAGGGTGCTGAAACTTTTCATATTAAGTATCCTGCATCTACTGCTATTTCTGAAAACTTTTCTACTCCTAGTTAACTAACCACATTCCTAGCTCAAATTCAGGATTCTAATCGTTTTAAGTTACTGGGTTCTAAATTAATAATCTATACACTTTTAATGGATTTTTTCAGGCAAGTACATGGTTCGGCCGAACTCGCTCCCGACACTCTAGCTCGGCCCATGCCCTCTTCATTCCAACAACAAGTACCACAAGAAAGATAGATCATATTTTACAAGCTAAATTTTCCATTCATATATTTCAGACGTCGTTGTTTATTTGTCCCTCAAGCCATATATAGTTTCCGATTTTTTCAACAATTAAATAGCAAGGAGTAGCGCTATGATATATGGTACTTAATAATTATAAGTGATTCAAAAAAGGAAAGACGAATTTTTTTCCATATGAATGTAAAGAGTTCCACTAGCAAACAAAAATGGGAAGGAGTAATTCTAAAAGATGAAAAAACAGTAGAGATTTTTAAAACTCCATAACAGTTAAGAATGTAACAGTTCCCTCTAACAAATACAAAAGCCAGATCATTCATTGTATCTAGACATGATATGTTGATAGTGTTAACAGTAATAACAAATCTGTTGAAACTCCGCCATATATGGATCCACTCATGTAGTGAGTGCAGTTTTACTCTGCCCCAATTAATCTAAAATCTTGAATGTCCCTTTGAACAGGCTGTTTGCATGGCCTAGCGATTAATGAAGTACGTGAAATACATCACGTGAAACAAGGATTCAAATATCCCATCTGGCTAATCCTTGGTGGATAGAGTTACGCGATGATCAATCAGGTACATAATGAAATAGTAGAGTTAGATATCAAGTTGATCCGGACTCCACTGTTGCAAAACCAAAGTGGAAAACTAAGAAATTAACATAAATGGACAGGGTGATTTAATTCATACCTGGAGAGGCCAGTTAAACGATTCTGCTAACTTTTGGGCATATTTTTGAGAAGGGACGTGTGGGTCTGCTATACAAACAACAGCAACTCCTTCACTTTTGAGATGATAAAGATTGATTAAATGTTCTCTTCCCATCATCCCAACACCAATTATCCCATACTTAACTATTGCTACCATTGCTGCAGAGTAATCTAATTCTTGAAATTAGAAACAAAGAAAACAGAGAAGCAGTGTCTCCACAAATCTCTCACAGAGATATATAATGCAGTTACAAGTTGGTCACTTGCACCATATATCCTTATATATATATATATATATATATATATATATATATATATATATATATATATATATATATATATATATATATATATATATATATATATATATATATAAG